TATGTGTATGTGTATGTGTGTGTTTGTGTGCGTGCATATGCATGTGTGTACGTGTATGTGTGTGCGTGTGTGTGTGAAAGAGAAAGCGCGCGCCCGACGCCGCGAATCAATCCAACCCCAGGGGACACGCATGAGCAAAGACCAGTTCCCAACCTACGTGGGGGTCCGTGATGAGACCTTGCCAGCATATAACACCTTCAGACTGGCCACCCACTTATAAATCACTAGGGTCTTCTACGATCTGTGGCACACGTGCGACCAACAAAGAAAACCATGCGGGCGACAAGGAGACTGAAGGGATGAATGCATTTTTCAGTTTGCCTTTGACGTCCCGTCTGAGTGGTCGTAAAACGACTCGCTTGACGTGGTTTTGACTGTATATAACCCGTCTACACGTTCAAACTGTCCTAAACCAGTCTAATGTTTAGCATTACGATGATAAGTGTTGACTCTTCGAATGGTTTGGAAGGCTATACATCAGAATGAGGAGGCGAGCAGGCCGAACTGTGTTACACCGTCCATGGGTGCGTGGCTGAAGTGGGGTTCCGCGGTGCGGACTCGTAATGTTTGTTGTTGCGCGCTGTCACCCCACCCGCAACCCATCCGCGCCCCTTCCCACGACCAGCCACACGACCCGCCCCACGACCCCCCCCGCCCACCCCCGCAACCCACCCACGACACACACACACACAAACACACACACACACACACACACACACCGCCCGCCCAGACCCACCCGCAACCTACCCCGAGACCCACCCGCCGACCCACCCGCGACCCCTCGGGACACACCCACGCCCCACCCACATTGCTGTCACATTTGAGCTCGTTGTGTAAGGAATCGGAGGTTGGGGGGTGAGATCGCAGTGGAACGGAGACCCCCAACTGGGAAATCGTTTCGTTTCGTTCGTGTCGTGCGTGCGGGCGAGGCGAATCTGCGTGGGCGCGCGAGAGGTATGAACCCGCCATTGCTAGGCTTCCGTCCGTCCTGCGGTGACCCTAGCGGTGTCCCGCGGTGTCCCGTGGTGTCCCTTGGTGTCCCGTGGTGTCCACCGTTGCTAGGGCGAATTCAACACAAATGATTAAACTCCGTCCGGCGGTGGCCCTAGCGATGTCTCGTGGTGTCCCGTGGTGGCCCGTGGTGGCCCGTGGTGTCCCGTTGAGTGAGATGGATAGTGAGATCGATAGTGAGATCGACAGGTGTCCCGTGGTGTCCCGTGGTGTCCCAAAAAGTGAGATCGATAGTGAGATCGATAGTGAGATCGACAGGTGTCCCGTGGTGTCCCGTTGAGTGAGATCGATAGTGAGATCGATAGTGAGATCGATAGTGAGATCGATGAGGTGGCCCGAGGTGTCCCGTGGTGTCCTGGGGTGTCCTATGGTGTCCCGTTGAGTGAGATCGATAGTGAGATCGATAGTGACCGATAGTGAGATCAAAAGGTGTCCCGCTGTCCCGTGGTGTCCCGTGGTGGCCCGTGGTGTCCCGTGGTGTCCCGTTGAGTGAGATGGATAGTGAGATCGATAGTGAAATCGACAGGTGTCCCGTGGTGTCCCGTGGTGTCCCGTGGTGTCCCGTGGTGTCCCGTGGTGTCCCGTGGCGTCCCGTTGAGTAAAATCGATAACGAGATCGATCGAGTCAGATGTTGGTTTCCCCCCCTCTCCCCCCCCCCCCACAACCTCCTTATCACCTGAAGGGTGGTCGTATAGGTATATAATAATAGCCTGCAGCGGGTTTTTCACACACTTGCTCCCGAGCCTCGCACGCTGCCGATGACTCCTCGCCCACTCACTTTCATCCGCAACTGCGTGGCTATCTTGCACCTCTTCAAGCTCATCTGCAGATTCGAACGGTTCGAAATGATCTAGCTCACCAAAGCCCTGATCCAGCATCACCCGTCGAACTCGTCTAGGGTCCTCACTATTCTAGATAACCTACCAATCCTCTGGCCAGAGGTGGTGTTAAGCGTTCCTTCTTCCAGCCCACGTCTTCCCCTGCGGGGAGGGCTCAATCACTGTTCCCTATTAACCCTCCCCCAGGCGACCGGCAGCCAACCAGGAACAATGAGGACCCCATGAGGACCCCCCCAAACACTTCTTGTCAAAAAAAAACGAAACTCACTCTGCCTCCAAATTCGGAGCATGCGCAGCCAACCCGATGCGGCCCCCCCACCACCCCTGTCAAAAAACACTACAAAGTACACTTTGGAGCAAAGTCTGCAGTCATGTTCGTGGGGCCCGCGAGCACTCTGTACTGTTTTTTGACAGGGACGGCGGGGGTGTCAGCAGATTGCTGCTGTGCGCAGGGCTACCATACCCGACAAAAACAATACAAGATGCACCTCGCACCTAAATCTGGATCACTGCCAAGTGGTTTTGACAGGGACGGCGGGGGTGGTGCCGTATGGCCTGCTATGCACAGGCCCACCAGACACAATGATGGGCATTGGCGTTCGACAAAAATGGTGGGGCCGACATGTTTCCCGATGTGTGCTGCCACGTGCGCAGGCACACCTGACACACTCTGCACGTGCCCCGAACGTTGCGCACTTGGTTCGGCTGGAGTATGCGGCACACCTGGCGCACGCGGAGGCATGTGGCGCATCTGGCTCACCAGGCGTGCCTGGCACGCTCGGGCCCCAGGTGTGCCTGGCGCGCGTGGCGCGCCTGGCACGCGTGGCGCACCTCGCCCCAGCGTCGCGCACATGGGCTCTGTTGTGGTTCCCAGTAGCCGTCCATACAAAAACGACCGCTGAACATGCTGAGGCTTGGGTGTTACTTACTCTGGGTTTCTTGATAAGCGTGGAGGGGTACCCCCCCGACGGGGGTCAACCTCGCCTCGTCGTCGCGCCGCGACGGGGGTCGGAGCGCCTTCGGCGCGCGGTGGCTGCCCACGACGGGGGTCGATGTGGGGCTGTCGGTGGGGGTGACGCCGCCCCGACGCTTCTGAAGAAACTCGGAGTATGTGTTGCGAGGGCGGGTGGAGGTGAGCTAGACGGCTTGCTATCTAGGAGGGTAGCTCGACAGCCCCCTGCCCCCTCCCCTGGGTCTGGACGGTCAGAGCGTCCGAAGTGGTCTAGGATGACTCCGAGATGGCTCTGGTCAGCCCCAGATGGCCCCCAAGCTGACCTAAAATAGTCCGATCTGGCTGAATAGAGCTTGCATAATGCACGGAAAAGGCCCCAAGGCCGCTTCAAGAAAGCTCTAAGTGACCACGGAGAGCCTCTCGGGGAGGCTCCTGAGAGAGGTGAGATACTCCAGATTTCGTAATAAAGGGAGAGGGGGAGAGGGGTCTCATTTCGGGGGGGGGTCTCTTCCAGGCTATCTTGGAGGGCCTGGGGGGTCTGGGGACGATGTTTTGGAGGGTTCTCCCACGGGGGAGGTCTGAAATGGCTTGGCTTGGAGGGTCCAGACCCCCTCCCTTTTATTACGAAATCTGGAGTATCCGTGTCAAACCTGAGAGGCATCCATGACAGCTGCCGTCTCGCGCTTTTTCGCTTCCGGTGGGCTCGGGAGGCCTCGGTCGCGGCACAAGATGGCCCAAGAGAGCCCTGGGCAGGGCCTATGAAGGGCTCCACGACTGCCACAGAAGCGACCCACGAGCGCCCCAGGAGCACCCTCCAAAGCGGCCCCACGGCAGGCCCGAAGGGCGCTCCGAGAGGATCACAAGAGACTGAGAGCCCAAGAGAGCCGAGCGTGACCCGCATAAATCCCAAGCGTGGCCCCGGGAAATCCTAAAGAGGTCCCCTTCCTCATCCTCCTCCTGCTGGTCTAGATAAAGGAACAACGGCATAAACATAAACTTTTGGCGCTCCTCGCGGATTTCTTGGATCTGCGCTGGACCCCCCTCCCTGGCGCGCGGTGCGCGCCAGGGGCGGCGCCGGAGGCGCCGACAGGGAGGCCCAGTGCGGATCCAAGAAATCCGCGAGGAGCGCCAAAAGTTAAGGTTTATGATGTTTTTCCCTACCTAGGCTCTGCCTAGAAGGGTTCTTACTCGGTTTGCTTAAAGGGCCGGGCAGTGGGCCTCGCCCCGGGCGGTTCCCCCAGGATCCGCCCCACGGTTCCCCCAGTCCCCATGGGAGCTTTAGCTTTAGCTTTGGCTTTAGCTTAAGCTTTAGCTTTAGCTTAGCTTTAGCTTAGCTTTAGCTTAGCTTTAGCTTAGCTTTACCTTAGCGTGAGCTTAGCTTTAGTTTAGTGTTAGCTTAGCTGTAGCTTAGCTGTAGCTTAGCTTTAGCTTAGCTTTAGCTTAGCTTTAGTTTAACTTTAGCTTAGCTTTAGCTGAGCGTTAGCTTAGCGTTAGTTTAGCTTTACCTTAGCTTTAGCGTAGCTTTAGTTTAGCGTTGGTTTAGCTATATATTGATGTTTGCTTAGTTCCAGCTTAGTTGTAGCTTAGCTTCAGTTTAGTTTGAGTTTAGCTTTAGCTTAGCTTTAGCTTAGCTTTAGCTTAGAGTTTGCTTAGCTTCAGCTTAGCTTCAGCTTAGCTTTACCTTAGCTGTACCTTAGCGTTAGCTTAGATTTAGCTTAGCTTTTGCTTAGCTTTAGCTTGGCATTAGCTTAGCTTTAGCGTAGCTTTAGCGTAGCTTTAGCGTAGTTTTAGCTTAGCTTGTTACTACTAATGCTGCTTTCCTAGGGGCTCCAACTCCTAGGTAGGGTCGCACTGGGATAATTTCTTCTTCGATGGTCCTCATCATCCTGCTCGTTACCCTCGGCCCTCCCTCGTGCACGAGCCCGGGCACGCGTTCCGCTGGCTTGCGTGACTCTTTGTCGACGGAGCATCCTGCTATTTAGACAGCTGGAAATTCCTCGGACCGTTCAAAATTTACGACTGATGGAGGAGGGCAGAGAGGAGAGGACAGACAAACAGTGTGCGGGAGCTGGGTCAGAGGAGAGGCACGAAGAAAATGCATAAGGACATCGAGCCCAGTCGGCTCCCAGATACACCAATGACCGAAAGGATCGGGAGCGGCGAGAAGATGAGTGAGATGGCGCGGCGAACAGGGCGCCTTGAGCAGCGTGATGACCTTCGACACCGGTCGGTTTTTCGCGGCGGCCACGTCGAATGACAAGGAGGAGACCTGTTCGGGCCAGGCATGCAGCAAGAGGCGAACCTGGACGACACGGGCAACTCGGGAAGCAGCACGGAAAAGCTAGTGGAAGCAGACCGCAGAAACCTCCGCGGCGACGGGCACCAGGCGAATATGCGCAGAGCAGGTCCACCTGTGGCACACGGGGGGGCAAAATTGCCAGGCCACTGGCTTCAGCAGAAGTGGGGGCCAGAACGTCCAAATCTTTTTCTGTCGGCGGCGAGGCAGAGGCAGTCCGATCCAGCGTGTGGCATTTCGGGACAACCGAAAAGCGAGTTGTCTGGCGTGCAAGGCAGGAAACAAGACGAGGAGAACGTCAGAATCGCGCGTGCTAACTATCATCCTGGTCGGCCACGGGGGCCGTCTTGACAAGGGAGCCCAAGGTGCTCCCCGACTCCGAAGACGGCTCAGGCAGGTCAGGTACAACGAGGAGTAGGCAGCCGAGTATGACGAGCTCTTGGCCCTAATTCGGACATGGGAAGACCGCTGTGGGGCCACAAGGCTCCGCGGGTCAGGCTTGCTGCTGCCTGATCCAGTTCCAGCTTCAAGTCCCCCATGAGATAGTCCTACGTTCTGGTTCCTACTGAAAAATATCAAAGTCCACGCGAGGGGGGGAGCCGGAAACGGCCCTGGTTACCACCACCTGGGGGGGTTCTCAAAATTTATTGAGGGTCCTGGGACACGTAAAAATACATGATACTGGCATCCCCGAAGCCATACCCCCTTGGAACATACATCATACTCGCGCCCCCGAAGCCAGAACCCCTTCTAAATTACACGAAGCTCGCGTCCCCGAGGCCATAAGCCCTCACAAATCATGCTATGCTCGCGCTACCGAAACCATAATCTAAAGTCAAATAAACGCTGTTCGCGTCTCCGAGGCATTTGTTTTCTCTTTCTCTCCCTCTCTCTCTCTCTCTCTTTCTCTCTCTCTCTCTTTCTCTGTCGCTCTCTCTCTCTCTCTCTCGGGCCAGAGGCGTGCTAAGATCTCCAGTAACTACTAACAATATTTCTAGTTCGCGCGCGCGGGGCGGCCCCTGGGGGCCCCCGGACGAAAAGTACCTCGGCCGATCCCCAGCTGACCCCCGGTCGATCCCAGGGGGGAGGCTATTTTTCGCCACCCCTCACGAGGATCGTGGCCTCCGAGGGGTTGGCTGCACTCGACAACCCCCCCTCCTGCCCCAAGGGGCCCCCAAGAGCCCCCCAGGAGGCCCCATGGGAGCCCAGGACGCCGCCGAGGAGCCCCAAGAGACCCCCAAGAGGCCCCCAAGAGGCCCCTAGGAGGCCCCAAAGAGGCCCCCAAGAGGCTTCAAAGAGGCCCCATAGAGCGCTCGAGGGCCGGCGGAATGAGCGAAGCGATTAAATAAACGCTGTTCGCGTCTCCCCTCTGTCACCTTGCTCACGCACTTCTCCTTCCCATCCCCTTCCTCAAAGCTCTTGCAACCCCTCCTGGGGTCCTCCCCGGAGCCCGCTCATTCCGCCGGCCCGAGGGCCCTGGCTGCACCCGGGGCGCCCTTTGGCCGCCATTTCCGTCCCAAAACGGCGTCCCTTTCACATGCTACGTTTCTGGGCGCCGCCGGGCCCTCTCAGAGACTTCTCCGGGAGCCCACGAAGCCGGTTTCGGGGGCCTCCTGGGGCCCTCCTAGCCTGATCTTCACCGTCCTTACAGCCACTTTGGGCCGTTCTGGATGCCTCTCCGCCTCTCTTCGAATCAAATATACCAGAAAACCACGACAAGCAAAAAACATCCTAAAACACATAGGATTCTCACGATTCTAGCCTTCTCCGGCTTCTCCTCGCGCCTCCTTTTCGGACTCCCGTGGATCTCCGCGGGCTGTTGCGGCAATCTTGGAACCTGCGAATGCTCTCTGCGGCCGTCCTGAAAGCCTCTCGGACCTATCTTGCGCCGTCTGGCACTCTTTTTGGCGCCCTCTTGGGCCGTATTGGGCGCGCCCAGAAAGGTCCCTGGAGGCCCATTTCAGGCCCCCAAGCAAACTGGAAATGCTTTTTTGGGCCTCTCTGTTTCCGTTTTCGGTTTCGTTCGCAATTTTTGGCCCCTTCGGCTACCCTTTTGGGCTGTTTTCGCAGCCTCCGCAAGCCCTCTGGGCTCAATTTTTCTACTATTTCGGAACTCTATGGCGCTGTCTTCGCCCCCCCATCCCACGAAATCCACGATCCAATCTCTCTCTTTCCCTTTCTCTCTATCTCTCTCTCTCTCCCTCCCTCTCCCTCTTCCTGTACATCTCTCTCCATACCTGTCCTCCTCTGCGTCTCACAAGCTGCCCCCCCTCCCACGAAACCCACGATCCAATCTCTCTCTTCCTCTCTCTCTCTACCTCTCTCTCTCTCTCTCTCTCCCTCTCCCTCTTCCTGTGCATCTCTCTCCATATCCGTCCTCCTCTGCGTCTCACAAGCTGCCCCCCCCTCCCACGAAATCCACGATCCAATCTCTCTCTCTCTCTCTCGTTCTCCCTCTCTCTCTCTCGTTCTCTCTCTCTCTATTCCTCTCTCTCTATCTCTCTCTTTCTCTCTCTCCCTCTCCCTCTTCCTGTGCATCTCTCTCCATATCCGTCCTCTGCGTCTCATAAGCTGCCTCCCCTCCCACGAAATCCACGATCCAATCTCTCTCTTCCTCTCTCTCTCTCTCTCTTTCCCTCTCCCTCTTCCTGTGCATATCTTTCCAACTCAGTCTTCCTCTACGTGTCACAAGCAGCCCAACCTTGACTCTCGAGCTCCGAACCCAGCAGCCCAACCTTGACTCTCGAGCTCCGCACCCAGCTTAGCTTAGCTTAGCGCAGCATGAGCATCACATAGCATAGCTTAGCATAGCATAGCGCAGCATAGCACAGCGCATCATAGCATAGCATAGCATAGCATAGCATAGCATGGCCTAGCATAGCGCAGCATAGGATGGCATAGCATAGCATGGCATAGCTTAGCATAGCACAGCGCAGCATAGCATAGCATAGCATAGCATCGCATCTTAGCTAAGCTTAGTTTAGCTTAGCTTAGCTTAACGCCATCCTTTCATGACGCGAGCGCTGCGCCTGAGTACATCGTAAGGACGTCCCCAACCAGAGTGCGATTGTGGAGTACCTCCCATTCAGACCTCCCCAACCAGAGGGCGATTTTTCAGTACATCCCGAGGAACCGAGGAAGTCCCCAGCCGGAGCAGGGCTTTACACAGCGTCGAAGACTGACGATGAGGCCCCCACGATCGCCCCAAGAGCGCCCAACAGGGCCCCAAGAATGGCCCAAGACGGCGCAAAAGCGCCCCGAAACGGCCCATGATGTCCCTGAGACGGTCCGAGAGACGTTCAGGAAGACCCCAAGGGAGACCAAGACGGGGAACTTAAGATGACAGTCGCTCCGACGGACGCCTGCGAGACCGCCAGCAAACCCCCAACAAACCCTCAAGAAGCCTCCGAGAGACTGAAAAAGAAGCTCCAAGGCCCCCCCCCAAATGGCCTCGAAGAGCCCTCAAGAAACTTGAAACCTGCCTCCAGGAGCTCCCGAAACGCCTGCACAGAGACCCGAACAACGCCGCATTCACACGGAGCCGTCGGGCTCACGGCAGAAATGCTGCGTGGGCTGGCGGAGTGAGCGAAGCGATTGAATGACAGGGGGTCCCTAGAGGCCACACCGAGGCCACAAAACAAACTCGGGTGGCTTTTTTTCCCGCTGGATATCCCTCTGCGGTTTCGACCGCCTCGTGGGCCCTCTTGGACACATTTTCTAATATGTTTCGGGTCTCTGGCGCTGTCGTGCCCCCCCAAAAAAAGGGTGGGGCGGCGGTGTCTGCCCCCTCAGGGGCGTTCAATTAAATGAACGCTGTTCGCGTCTCCGAAGCATTTGTTTTCTCGTTCCCTCCCTCTCTCTCTCTCTCTTTTTCTCTCTCTCTCTCTCTCTCTCTCTCTCTCTTTCTCTCTATCGCTCTCTCTCTCTCTCTCTCTCTCTCTCTCTCTCTCTCCATCGTTGTTATTTCTATATGTATATATATATGTATATCGTTATCTCTCTATATGTCTTTAACTCTCTCCCTCTCTATCTCGTTATCTCTATCTCTCTCTCTCACTCTCGCTCCTTCTCTATGTTTCTCTCTCTCCCTCTCTATCCCCCATGTATATGCAGAAATGGACATATGTACATATATATGTGTGTCAATATATATATGTACATAAATACAAATATACGTATACATATACATATACACACATACATATGCATATACATATGCATGCATATAAACATATACACATACATATACATATACATATACATACACACGTACAAATACAATTGCATAAATATATACATATACATATACACATACACATACACATACACGTACATATACATATATATATATATATTCATATACATATACATACAAATGTATATATATATATATGTGTATACATATGCATATGCATGAACATACGCATGAACATATACACTTAAACATACACATGCATATACATATATATAGACATACACATACACATCTACGTATACATATACTTAAACATATACATATACATATACATGTTCGTATACATGTACATATACTGGTACATATACATATACATACACATGCACATATACCTATAAGCATAAATATGTGTGTACATCTGCACATACATATACATCGATGTATATATACATATACATATGCATATGCAAATACATCTACAACTACATATACATATACCTATATATATATATACATACATATACATATACATACATATAGGTATACATATACATATACACGTACACATACATACACATTTACATTTACATATACATATACAAGTACATATACAGATACATGTACATATACATATACATATACGTATACCTACATGTACATGCATATGTACATGTATGCATGCATACATATATACATATACATATACACATGCATATATGCATACATATACGTATACATAGACCTATACATATATACATATATATATACATATGCATAC